AATAAATCTCGCCAATCGGCGCTTGCCACTGCCCAACGGCTGGCGTACCACACAATTCTAATTTATTGAATTTCGTCACCGTTTTTTAAAAAATAAACGAACTAGCTCGCTATACATATAACAAAACATAAAAAATATAAGAGCGGTCATTTTTCACGTGTTACACTGTGATATGATTTCACAAAAAAGATTCAACAACCTATTAAATAAAAAAGCTTTAAACATAGCTTTCAATATTTAAACAGAACAATCTAATCGTATAGCTAAAACTTTACTGTTGAAACTTTCAGATCCAAAAATAGTTTGTCTATTTAAGTATTGTACAAAAATGTCTTGTCTTGTGGAAAAACTCAAAATATCAAGAATGTATATTTCGGGTATACTGCTATTACCAAACAACATTGGCCAGAACGGTGCAGATGGCCAATGAGGTACAATTAAAACTCCCCGTGCTTGGCAAAGCACCAAATGATTGATAGCTTTAGGCACAAACGTAACAGGGGGAACCAGCCAGTTATTTTCCCCTGACCAATCAACTGAAAATGCATCGACTTGTTCTGTTCCCGGAACCCAGAACAAAGAATTAAATCTTTTAACTTTACAATTGTAATGATTGGCAAATCGATCTATCGAAAAAGGCCCCCACATATCATCCAAAAAATTGAAAAATTCTGTAGTAACGCCCCAATCATCAACATCAAAAAAGTTACTTATTTGATCTGCAAACTGATTTTGCGCCCTAGGAACCCAGTCTATATGTAAACGTATACCTTTTTTAATACAAAAATCAAAAATGTTAACAGCGAGGGAATGTAACTTTGGTTTCATGCTCCCTCCGTTAATAATTTTTACACAATTTTGATTGTCGGTGCACCATCGGACTGATTTACCAGAAATAAACAATACAAAACTTTGTAGAGCAAAATATATAGCAGACAACTTCTGCCATGTTGAACTCTCAGTTTTTTCATACTCGGACCAATTTCTGTGACAAATACATTTATCAGAGTTTAAGATATAAGCCCCACATGCTACGCTACTGACATCGGAAAAGATATTTATAGTAAATGCATGTTCAATAAAAAGAAACTTGATAGGATTGTTTTTAAACTGGTCTCTCCAGAATAACAACTCCTTTACATATCCGTCTACAAAAGAGACATTGAAAACAGTATCCCAACTTAATCCATTTAAAATGGTACGGTGTAGATATTTGGTCATTAGATTGCAAACTTCCCCTAAAATAGGCATCATAGACATAACTTTTCCTGTAAAACGTGCTAACTCTCTAGCAGACGAAACAGGTAAATTATTCAAAATAGTACTCCGGTATGAATTTACATTTGAAAAACGTTTCTCTGAAACTCATATGATTCTCAGATAAATTCCATACAAGTCCTAACCATTCTAATTTCTTGACGGGAATGAACATCAACTTATCATAATTCAGTGCAAACCCTGCATTATTTAAGACGTTTTCGACAAAGCTTGCATCTTCAGACGACGATTGAAATGATTTATTCACAATCCCACCCATCGTCCAAAAATACAACCAAACGAATGCCATTTTCCCGTGCATGTTTAACGATGCAACTTAAACACTTAGTGAAAATAAAAGGCGCTGATGTTACCCCAAATGGCAATACGAAAAAAACAAAATACTTGTGGATACCGTTATAATTCCAAGAAAAACCTAAAAATGTTTGCTGAGAAGTACAGATATCGATATGATGATACGCTGACGTAATATCAAATTTGTACATAAAACCATCTTTAAGAAGAAAATCAAATGCTACTTTCCAATCCTCAAACTTAAAATGTTCTTTCCAAACGTAATTATTTAAGTTACTTAGATCTAAAATTAACCTTTCCTTCCCAGAACTGTTGACGGAAACAGATAACGGACTAACAATACAAGGCAAAAAAGGTACTTCTAAAACCGATCCCGACCTAAGTAAATCTGTAATAGCCCCAGTAACAAATTCAGCGTGTACTAGAGCAGATTTGTTATTTTTCATAAACGAACATTTCGGAGTATTATAAAAAGGAATTTTGTACCCATTCTTTATGACATCCAAAATAAAATCAGGAGCTTTAATTGTCTCCTCCCAGAAATGATAATTTTTTAGTAAACTTCCCTTGACAAAAGAAGTATTAGACTTACATATGTAGTTATTATACTTAAATGTTTTCTGATACTCAAAATAATGTTCATGCATATAGAAATTCACGTCAATGAAAACAGAATATTCTAAACAGTTGAATAAATCTACAAAATCATACTCATCTTAAACATCTTGAATTTTGGACTGTGTCTGAGTCTTGGGGCTTGAACCAGTTTTTAGGAGCTGCCGATTGTGAACCTGGCAGAGATCCGCTGAAGCCTGAGAAAAACCGCTGGTAGGGTAATTGACTTCCGTTGACCTTGGGACATATAGCCCGGAAGTGTCCACATCCGCCACATGCGAAACACTGACTGGACCGTCCTGCTTGTCGAAAGGAAAGAAAAGGCCTGACCTTGGTTTGAGCACCAAAAAAGAAGTAGGAGTATAACCCCCAAAAACGTATGGGTTACTCGGCGTAGACATTGGTAACGGTCTTTTCCTCGCTCTTTGTTTAGAGAGCGAACGACTTTCAGCGGGTCGTAGCCTCTTCTCGTCCTCGCTGTCACTGGCCAACTCGTCAGACTCATACTCGCGCACCGTTTCCCAACCGCCAGAACTTTTGTCAGCAATTTTGATAAGTTTGTTGCTTTTACAAACTTTCTTTTTGATATCATCTATCAGCTCTAGAGATTTTCCTTGTTCTCCCTGTTCTATGAGTTCTGCAGCAGCATCCAAATTATCATAGACGTCCTTATTAAATAAGAACTGCTATTTTTTCCCTTTGTACTTGAAATCTGGCGTGGAGTGTTTAGTGTGGATACCTACCTATATTTTGTGAAACAATGTCTTGTCATCGGATACACCGTGCATATCCAGTAACATAGAAATGTTCACTTAAAGTAAAAGTAACGCCGCATCTGTGCAACGCTATTGTCAAAACGAATAACACAGTAAGCAAACGAACCAAAATATTTTATTCTAAATCAAATTTAAAGAATGGAATTAGCGCATACGGCTGCTACGACATTATACTTTATCCAGGATTACATTTTGTTCCAGGAATATGATTACTCTGATATATTCGTGAGAATAACAATCTGAATACTGTGTTGAACATGAATTTTGTATTTCGGTAAAAAATATGTACATTTAACATATTTGAAACTTTATTTTTCATTTTCCGTGTACCAAAAACATTTGTAAAACTACAAGCGTCGTATAACAATAGAAGGAATCTGGTAAAACATAACATTTAATAAGATAACCGCTGTTGCTTCAGTGCTTCATTCACGAATTCTACATAACGCTGTAGAAATGATCTCAATAACGTTTTATCTGCTTAATTAAGTGTAGATTTGAGAATGCCTCAGGTACACCGAATATAAAAATCACAAAGTACGAGTATATGTACATTATAGTTCTTAAAGATACCAATGGAAGTAAAAGTCGTCATCAATACGCTAGTCAGATTGTCATTCTCACGAATGATCTTGAAAATAAACATTTTCAAGGAAATATTTTTGATGAGTTATAATGTCTCAACAAACATATGCGCTAACTCATTTTTTCCAATTTGGCGTACTCCATTTACATATCGCGGTTCTCGTTTTTGCCAATTAATTGCACGATTCTGCGTTACTTTTGCACAATTCTAGCATTATTTGCACATTCCTGCGTTACTGGATATACACGGTGGGATAGAATATGTGAGATAAAACTTCTAAAATTACATTGTCGCACATTAGGAATAGTACTTCAAATCTTAAACTTCATATCATAACTGATTTTTGTAGATATAAATAAATGTTTCTTAAGTTCAACATTTTGAAAACAAATCTATCTGGAGGTAAACTGCCTTAAAAACTGTATAATTCGCAAGAAAAAGTATTTTAAGAATCTTTGTTTTCTTTGCTAATCATGATCAATAGATTAAATATTGTTTGGTTTATAAATACATTATATATCTAGTGTAGGAAGCTTTAAGATATTTTGGATCCTTCCAGGAAGCTAACCGTTACTGAGAAATTAGTGTAATATTTCTTATCGAAGGAAACTACCTGCCCTTGAAGGCGTTTAAACATATCCAACAATTGAGGAAAAGATTATTAGTCCGGCGCGTTAATAAATTGACCATGTCTTCACCTATAATCTCCTTTAAACACTGCAATGTTAATTTCTGTTTACATATTATGTAAAGGCCCGGTCACACAGCCTTTCGCGTCTGTATCGCGGGTTAAATTTCGCATTTTTTTTGCCCGCGGTTGCCCGTGGTGGAAAATGAGCAAAATTGGCTTACCCGCGGTTTACCCGTGGTATGCCCGCAGAACAGACGCCGGCGACTGTTCCGCGTCCTTATAGCGGGTGAAGCGCAGCGGTACCACGACCTAACACGGGTATAATAAAGCAGCCGAACCGGGCGGTAGAAATCATAACTGCTCAAGACACAGTCCCGTGAAGATCAAGCTATGGCACCGAAGAAGAAGCCCACGTCGCGTTCCCCGGCCAAGAAGAAGAAGCAGCGTGCGAGCAAGAAGCCGAGGGCGAAGGCAGCAGATGAAGGCAGCCCAGTGCCAGTAGGCAGAAGTCACAGTGGAGGTGCAAGCTGTCGTCCACTCTGCTGCCGAAGTTCCGAGTGATCGTGGCGAGGTCGAGGCCAGTCCTGCTGTCAGTCCAAGAGCTGTCAGTCTAGTTGAAGAGGAGGATGTCATAAATCTGGAGACCCTCTCTGAAATCACTTGCATTGTAGATGTGGGCATCAGACGAAGACCCTTGCCGCTGACGTCTATCCAGAGGAACTTGTAGTCAGATGTGACGACTGCCAGGAGGATGACACTGACGAAGCCCTTGTAGTTGAAGTAGTCGGACCTAGTGTTGGCAGGTCTATTGCACCAATGACTACGGAAAGTTCCAACTGTTCATCCAATTGTCACTAATCTGACGCCACTCTGCAGCAGTCTGTGGTGGCGCGAGCAGCTCATCACGGAATTCTTCGACGATGGCCGCACACACTTCGTGCAACACCAGACTGACGGTGTTGTGATGGACCCTCCAGCCATACTGCATCTCACGGTACTTGGCGCCAGAAGTAAGATGCCTCAGGGTGAGGGCAACCTTCAGGCCTGGATCAAGGGGTGCTCGCCAGTTGGTGGTCTCCTTGGTAAGGGCTGGTGTCAGTCTCTGCACAATTTCATCGAACATGGCAGGTGGCATTCTCATAGAGTTCTGGAAGGCCCTTGGATCTTCATTACGGAGCTCCACCATGAGACTATCGTACAGCACCAGCTCAGGTCTCCTGCCAATCCAAGCGCGCACCCAGATGTTTGGACCACTCTCCTCCTTCGTCTTCTTATGTCAATGAGGAGCTGATGGACCTGTACCACTTGGTTCTGATGCTGCTGGAGCAGCAAGACGAGGTCATTACGGTGACGGGGATCCATTTTCACCCCTTGACGTCTGGGGCACAACTGACGAATGGAATGCTCGGCAAATCGCGCTTTTTATATACCTAAAATCAGACGTTGTACGGACGCGATTAGGCCGTGGACAATCGTATTTGGGACGTGTACAAGACGCAATTGAACGTGATTAGGTCGGTATTGGGGCGCGCTGTTTACGCGGAGAAAGGCTTTTGTCCGTGCTTACACGCGGTACACACGCTAATGCACGTGATAACAACGCGGTACAGACGCGGAACAAACGTGCTATGACCGTGCTCCTACCGCGATTACCCGCTAAAATTTCGCGTCCCACCGCGTGTAACCACGTCTTAACCGCGGCCGTAGCACGTTCTAGCACGTTCGTTCCGCGTCTGTACCGCGTCTTTATCGCGTGTGTACCACGTGTGCCGCCCGCGATTTCCCGTGGTCTAAATTTTTGGGCAGCCCAAAACTTTTTCGCGCGGCCAACCGCGTGTGAATTTCTTACCGCGTGTAACGACGGGTAAAGTGCGGCTGTATCGCATCCTTATCGCGACCTCAAAGCGTCCAACAGCGTCTGCTTCACGGGCAGAAATGTTTGGCCGTTATTCGGCCGCGATACGCCCGTGGAGGGCTGTGTGACCGGGCCTTAAGAATGTATGTGATAGAATTTAATCTTTACAATATCAAGTTGTTTATTGGCTGGTGAGTGATTATGTAACTGATCAGGTGCTTTTATAATATTTTTTTTTACATTTTACACATGTAACATTCAGGAACGTCATACAAAATTACAAGTTAACTTGTGACTCATTCATATTGCTTACAAAAATAAATTCAGAATTACGAAAGGTATCATTCGACTTATTTATTTCTACAATTAAAACATAAAAATTATATATTTTTTGAAAGCTTTCAATTGGCATTATACACATCCAATGTAAATGGTCAGTAACAATTGCAAAAGACCGCGGACAGCATCCTCAGTGCTAGATAGCAAATGAAATTAACATAGAAAATGAGAACAGGGTGCATAATTCTCAAATTAATGTGTCCAACAGACTTTTTTCCCCTCGACAGTCAACAAATATTTCAAGTGTGAAGGGAAAATCAAAGTCAAAAAGGGGGTGTAGCTGACAAAAATGAATTATGAATTTACCCGCCTTAAGAAATGCATTTAGATTTTTAAATTGAACAAGTACCAATTTTGAAGTGATTAACTTCGACAGTTTCTGGAAGATCGGACCGACAAAAAATCAAGTCCAAAAAGGGCACAATTTTGCTTGAAATGGATTTTAGAACTATCAGGCCTTCTGCAAGGGTGTCATATTTTGAACTAGTGAACTGACTACATATGATAAGTTTGATAGAAAGTATTGGAATTTTTGATGCGTGGGAATTTAAAACGAAAGCTGTAAATTATTTTGTTTTCATCATAACGAACTGCAGTAAAACTGTACCGTGCATATGTGACGACAAAGCCGAGATCTCTTAGGTTATAATATTTTGGACAAACGAGTAAAACATGGAATTCATTTTCGAGGACATACATATTGCATTGTTTACATAGTCTATTTTCTCTTGGAACTCCGTTGTTCCTACAAATTTCAATTTCTAGATTATGTGATGATAACCTAAATTGCGTAAAAAAATCTGGAAACAAAGTGATCCTTCGAAAGCATTATTCACAACAAAATTACATGAAAATAGTAGACTCGGTTTGATTGAGTCTGTACATCAGGGATAATGAATAAGTGCAACATCCCTCACGCCCCAGGCACCGGCTTGAGCGGTACTCTATTCTAAACGGCATCAAGTTGTACTCTATATTTATTCATATTTACACACTTTATGTTTTTTCAAATTCAAAGTCATAATTATACATACTTTATGTTTGTTATCTACTTGAATTATTTATTTCTGAATACCCAGTTTGTTTATATAATATCTCCAATTTTCTATTTTTATTATTTAAAATGATATATTAATTTCGTTTTGCTGTAGCCAAAGAAAAGAAAAACCTATTTTGTCAAGTTTTACTTTTATTCGATATGTTATAAGATATGTTATTATTGACATTTTCTTTCATTACATTATACATTCTTTTTATAATGAATTATTTTCTGAGCCAAAAATTTTTAACCAATACTCAATCATAATAATTTTGCCTTGTATTCTCATTGATACCGTCCCAGTTCCCCGTAACAGTTAATTTATAAAAGCTATGTGTTTGTCTTAGAAAATTTACAATGTATACACTCAATATCTTAACCCTCATGATTGAATTTTTTGGTGCCTGAATTAGTTTACATTTTCTTGTAAAGACAGGTCTATTTGATTAAAAACAAGAAGTAAATTATGTAAAGCAAATAAATAATGTTGAGCAAGTTTCTCTTGTGTAGGATGCATGAGGCCGTTTTTGAATAAAGTAATACCTGCATATTTGAATAATGTCACTACTTTAAGTGGGATATTGTTTAAAAAGAGATGTTTGTAGTATGACGGCCTTGTTCGAAAATAATGATTGCAATAACTTTGAAGATCATTTTGTAATGACTGTAGAGCTTCCGGCGAATATGTAAAAGCTATGGCATTATCAGCAAAAAAGAGAGTCAAAATGTCCCCAATATTATCGCCGAAACCGGTTATTATATCGTTTACAAAGAATAAAAATAAGCGACTGGAGCTGGGATCTCCCTATTTTGCACCGATGTTTAATTGTAAAAAGGGTGTAACCGTTTATTATATCTTACATCAGCTTTAACAGTACATGAACTTTACCTTCATTGGATTGTTTTATAACATAATTATTTAATGGCGTAATAGACCTCCAATTACGGACCAATTAACTTAAGCACTTTTAAGTTCACTTTCTGGAACTTATCATTTATGTTAAAATATACTCTTAACCTTTGTATGGCTCAAATCATACAAAGCACTTGGTAGAGTGGTAGAAAACTAAATCACAACGCAACCGCTCTCATAAGGTACTATCATTGTATGTTATTATTTCAAAATTCCTGTATTGAAATATTAAACGTAAATGAATAAAGAAATAAAGGATGATGTAAAATCAATTACGGCAGTAAAAAACTGTCTCTCGTACATTTATGGTCACTATTTCTCTGCGTAAGACAAGGACAATACACACAAAGAATGCGCTCTCAATAGTGAAAGAGGGTGTGATTTCGTGGTTGCTATTCTGCGCATCCCAATGGAAATATTTCACGTAGATGGTCCGTTAAATCAAGATGACGTAACGTGAATTCCAATATGATTATACAATTCAAATACTATGCATGTAAGTATGATATGTGCTAATAAATGCTCAAACATAGCAAATTAATTTAACATTATTTGTTGTCTATCGTTACTTAACAAAATTGTGGGATATTGTGTCATTCCTACAACCATTGATATATATTTTCAGGGCATATCACTTCTTTTCCCTTGTCCAAGCGCTGTAAGGCGGTGCTGTTATGGAAATAAGAAGGTAAGGAGGAAACAGAAAAAAATAGTAAAATGATTGAAACCGCATTTTGGAGCGCTAAAATGGCTTCCGATGGCTTGGTAATGCGGCAGCAGAGCCGCACAGTGCTGGGTCCTTCTCGTTGGCGTCTTTTAACAATGCTGAATATGCAGTTGTTATGTATCCAAGTTTTAATCCGGTTTGAAGATGTTGGTTTGGCGAAATCAGAAATCTGGTAAAATAGTTCTATGCGCATATTTGCATGCCAAACATGCGTGTCCGTCAGCCGGTTAGAATTAGCAAGTCGCTGAGACCGGTATCGTTTGTGCCACTTGAGCATACCGAACACCCAGGTAAAATGTTCTCTTTTAAGATCCACGACAGACAGGGTGATAGTTCAGGTGAGCTAAACTCAATAATTTAAGCATGTAACGAATGGCAGACTCATTTTTTTTGTATAAAATTGTTAATTTCCGTAAATATGCCGTATATCTCAACATAAAAGTGAGAAAATAATCACTTTTGAATACTGACAAGATTGTCATTCAGAATTAGGCATTTCAATGCAAATAATGCCCTGAGAAATGAGATTAATGTTTCGATATTTTATATAAATAAAAAAACTGAACCTTATTGTTTTTGGTATTCATAATAAGTATTTTCTGTTAGATTCTTGATTTTTGGTTTTTAGTCACGTGATAAATATAATGTAACATTTGTGGAAAATTCATTAAACTTTAACAGAAAAAATAGTCAACCAGTACTAATTCTGATCAAGTTAATGTATCTTTCTTGAAAGTTATCTGCTCGATGTTTATTTTTGTTCATTATAAATTTGAAAAACAATATTTTATCCCGCTCAGGGGCATGTTACGGCGTAACGTTGATAATTTTGTCGAGTAATTTGTTCCATGGATGTTTCGCTCACTTCTTTACCTTCGTGGTTGAAACAAAAAGTTTCATGTATCTGTCACCTTTATTCATTTATTTGCTACAGGGTTGAGATGAACTAAAGTATAAACTATAGCATGCCACGCATATTTCTTATTTAGTATATTTATACACATATATTCTGACATATGGTAGATAAAAGACAAACAAAAAGTGTAAGCTTGATTGATATAATAAAAACTTTGCAATGTTGGCATAACTATCGCAAATAATGTTTACAATATTCCAGCATTTGTAGTACATATCATTGTCTGTATTGTCCTTTGCATTCATATTGTCGCATTAGGACGCAACTGAAAAAAACATAAAACAATATTCTAGATACAGAAAAACAGAATTCCTAAAGATAGCCCAACACAACAAAACTGAAAAAAAAAACGTAAACCAATATTTAAAATATAAAAAAAACCCAAAACAGAATACCTTAAGAAAGCCCAACACAACGAAAGTGAAATGTTGCAGGCTTGGTTTGATTGAGCCTGTTATGGACAAAAGTGGTAACTTCACGCCCACTAGCACTGGCTTATGCATAATTTAACATTTAACATGGACTTGTAATATTTTGAATTTTGAAACAAAAATAACAATGACAATTTAAAAAAAACAGTGTTGCCTTTTATGGAATATTAAACATACGACAGATTCCATCATAACTTGTCTTTTCCTTAACCTTGATTGAGATTGATTCATAATATCACATCAGTTACACCTTTAAATATTGTTAACATAAATGATATGTTTAAAGAAAAATCATACTCTTTAACTTACCTCTAGGAGAACGTTCACAAAAATAGCTTATTGCATTACTGCAGCCGTAGTCATTCCATTTTTTAGTAGCTGTCATTTCAACACAATTTTCCTCTTCATATCTTTTTTTGCCATTATTCGGTTCCTTTGTGTCCCAATTTGTATATGTGGCACGTTGTTTCGTGCCGTCCCATTTGAATATATTTTCCGTTTCAGCATCACCCAATCCGATCCAAGCTTCTTACGGTTGAATGTCCTTAAAATTGTTTAAAAGAACATAACACCTTCTGTTATACATTTGTATCTCTTGTAACAGATGCGACAGAATAAATAAACTGATTGTATTAATTGATTTAGGCACATTATGCCTCAGAAACAAACAAATTTTACGTTTTATATTATGATTTTATATATCTTATATAAAATAATAATTTTGAGAATGTAATATGTTCGTTACCTGAATTAGGTAGCGATAAATGTCACATAGTATGTCATAAAAGGAGCAAAATGTAAACACATTAGAGAAATAGGAAGCCCTAAAGAAAGTCCAAAACGGAAAAATTGAAAATGTTTCATGCTCGGCTTTGTTCATGAAAGGTACTGTATTGGTACAACCCAAATCGAAAAATACCACAACACAACAATAATGTCGTGTTGAACAATCTTTAAGGATCGGGAATATAAAATCTCTAATTTAATGTACGGGGTGACTTTTACAACTTCAACACGGCATAAAAAACGCTGATAAAATAGTGAAAATTAGACTCCTGAAAGAAAGTCCAAAACGAAAAATATGAAAATGTTGCAGGCTCGGTTTGATTGAGCCTGTTCATGAACAATTCTATCAAGAGCAAACTACCAATAGTATTTTTACTTCCGTACAAAATACTTATCCTATTGTACTTATTGCCAAAAAGCAACATATGAAAAAGATGGTTCCAGTAAATAGCCAATGAGTAGAGTTTTGGATACAATAAGTGTACACCAAAATTAAAAAATTAAAAAAGCTTTTGAGAAATAACAATAAAAGCATTTCTGAGGCATAATGGGTAAGGTCAGGTATGTTAATTATCCAAAGCTTATTTTCAGATTGTATATTGCAGTTTTTATATCGAAACTTTGATTAAAATACTTAAACTAAATAAACAAAAGCCATCACGTAGCGGTGTCCATGCTTTTTAAAGTTAAACTTACCGGAAAATATGGAAGGGTAGTATGTAAAAGAATTCATTTAAATAGTTAATCACAGTAATTTGCTTATCACAAATTGATCAATATAATTAGTGAGCAAAACGTATTTACTTGCATCCTAGAAACTTTTTAAATAAATCGTATGAACTTGAGTTATGTAGATATATTTTCTTTATAATATGTAATTATTCTGAGTTATCACCTCACCTGTGTTACTCCTCAATGTGTTCAGAAAGTTGTTGACGACTTCACTGTCGACTTGCGCAAGAGTTCCACCCTCAAGGGAGCATTTCCTCTAGAAAATAAATAATTGAAAATAAATACATCAATAAATTTTGAGGTAAGTATCATATAATAACCGAAATATTGTTTTCAGTATGTCACAATCAATAAACCGTCAAACATATAAAATGTAACAGGAACTACACACGCAAACTATTGACAAATGCTTTGCTTGTTATTGACGTCATTACAGACAAAATGTGTATGCCAACACACTCTTAAAAGATATACTATGCTCATTATTGTATAACATATTTTAATAACAGAAATTAATTGAAATTTATAAAAATTTTACTTAATATGTCTTATTTGAATAAAATAATGAATAACCTAAGTACGGGACGCTGTCCTCCCTACTACGGGCCAAGTAAAGTTGGTCTTTTTAAAAAACAAATGCCAGTTTTTAATGACACTTCAGATTTATATTGTGACTACCTATTACTCGTAGACTTTTCCTAATAGTATATTTTCTTCATGTTAAGTCACAATTTTTTTGTTTTATGATTATCAATATTTTCTAGTACATTTATCTCCGTTTATTGTTCGCGTCAAAGGTAAAATATGGCTACGGATCTACAACGTTTTACTTTATAAGTATTTACTTTAGTATTTGAACAAGCATAATATGTAAACATGGCAACATACGGAAAATCCAGACAATTTTAAAAAAATAATTTAAAATACTGATTTAATAAATGGTTAACAATATATAATATTTATCATCAAATATCTGTTTTAGTTTCTTATATGAAAAAGTTGTATTAATAATCTCGTCAGCACAATAAGTAACAAACGAGAAACGCATGGGGTTGGGGTAAGCAATGGCATTAATAAATGTGCAGATATCGAAAAAACTAATGGCTTCTTTATTGTATCACTCACAAAATTATTAAATTACAAATAGATCATACGGTTATTTTACTTATTTTGCTATTTTTTACATATTTTTAAGATCGAAATATTAATGCTCATATCATATCATATTTTTCATATTATATCATATTATTATGCTGCCAGTCTGTAGAATGACAAAAATGGTGTTGTTGAGGCATCCAATCTTCTTTACACATTTCTAGTTTTTAAGACACATTTCCTAACACATAATGATAATCTATAGTCTTGTACATACTGCATGAAGTACAACTCGTATTTAATAGTATATTGTAAACACAAAACATACTTTGTCGGTGTTTATTGTTTTATAACTCTTGACAAGATTATGACCAATTGAGTGACCCAGTTCCAAGTGAAGTTATTTCACGTAGTTGGTCTTACGTTTCTTTATAATCATCGCGATGAGTTATTGTTCATTATAACTTTATATCGTAATCTTTTTAATCGTTTTATTCCTTAAAAATTACTTAATACGAATATCTATTACTTTTCCTTAGAATTCAAGAGTATTTTATTTCAGCCATGTCATTGCATTGTAAAATAATTGTCCATGAAATAAAACATGTGACTTCTTGAAAGATTTTATGTTTCTTTTCATTAAAAGAATGATTCCTCTCCTATAATAATTGATACATTACTTAGTGTCTAAGGCTCATTATGCCTCAGAAACGATTTTTCCCTTTATTTTTCGAAAGAGTAAATATAATGATTTTAGAGGATAATAAATGCTTATCACCTGATTAAAGAATCTCTAAACGTAAATTCTCCGTCATAAAAGTAGAAAATATAATCGAAGTAGTTTTTTGATTTCCGTACAAAATACTAAATCACTGTAACTGTACATGTTGTCAATAAGCAACATAAGCAAAAGCAGGTTCATACAAATCGTCAATTAGTAACAATTTGGAAACTTTAACTTGACATCAAAAATGAAAAGCTTTTAGGAAATAAAGATAATAGCATTTCAGAGGAAATTGGTGCTTAAAATTTTATGCAGAAAGAAGATAATAGTCTTTGCAATGTTTCGTTTATATCAAATGGAAGTATTAAAGATATGATAACCTACTGTAGCGATATGAAATTAACATATCATTCATCATAAACAATAGAGTTAATCTTAATCTATTTGATTCTACCAGCCTGTCCGGGTATTACTTAAACACACTGCATAATGCATTAATGCGAAAGAAAAGTATTAGGAAAGACATAAAGTTTAGACTTTAATTTGATATCGTATAGACGTTATTAGCGGTATGTCTTCGCCAATCACAACATATACGAAAGACAGAAGCTAATACATATGCGCGATCCTGTAGTTTAGAAGCAATTAACATTGCCATATAAATTATTTATTTGTTACCTTTGCGGTAGACCAGTTCAGTGCCGCATGTTTGAATATATAACAACGACCACTTGACAAGTTCCAAGCACTAGGACATGATTCTACATTGAGGAGAAAAACAAATCATAAGATTAGTGTTTAATCATTAAAAAAATACGATAAGTCGCTATTTTTCCCGCAAGATAGAATTCTTGAAAACATCAATTAATATCAAAATGTATTTAACATTTCTGACGTTTTTCATTACAGACAGGAGAAGATAAAGAATATCCATAAATACATATCTAAAATATAGGACAAATTTAGTTTTCCAATCATTGAAAAAAAAAACGTCACTCAAAGGGACACCGCAACCTCCTTGTCTATGTCTCTCTCTATCTCGCTCTATCATGTTTAGCAAACAAGTTATCTAATTGAATAATATTTAAACACCAAATGACCATTCGAATTTCGAAACATGATGTATTATTTGTGACCGAACATGTCGTTAATGTTCGTCAATTAGATAATAAATTGCTATATTCTTTATAACAATACTTACGATCACAATTAGTTCCTGCAAATTGGCTTGTACAGGAACATGTATAACTGCCAGATTGACTTGTGCACGTGCCTCCGTTCTTGCAAGGGCTTCCTGTGCAGGGATCATCCGTAGCGGCTTATATAAAGAAAAACACCATGTTTTTCAGACTATGAAAACAAAATATTTATTTGGCACTATTTTGCATCTTTTAATGACGGGATCAATATTACGAGATACCGGGGAAATGAAGTCAATTCGTTAATATAACTACACATTTGTTATATATGCTTTGATACGTTCATATAACTATATGTTTTTTATGTGTTATATATCCGTATTTATCACATGATGCCTTCTTGTTCATAATTCTAGTGCTGCATTAATACATGCTTGAATTTTCAGTTTATGTATACTTACATTCAATTATGTTTCTTTACTTGTCTATAATTAATTAAGGCTTAGTGTAATGTTGTTGTTTACAGTGACTGTTCACGCCATTTAGGGACAACATTCAGAGTTATATCATTGTCGTCAATGGAGGTCTTTCCAAATAAACAAACAAAAAAAACTATAAATTGTCGCTTGAGAAATATTCAAGACATTATGAAAATACTTCTTATCATCAAGCTTAAAGCAGAAGGCATCCAGAAGAAAACACATAAGCTACCGTCTACTTATAATTCAAATCTCCTCCCCAAAACATTATACAGTTAAAATAAATTGAATGACACTTCAAAATGTTCATATTTCAACATTCTTGCTTTGAAAAAATGGTGCTTTTCCGCCAAAGGGACATACTTCTTCTATTATACTACGGAATTCCTTCATTCGGGTCATTGAGCTTTTAATTAGAAAAAATAATATTGCACAAACCTTCTGCGAAACTGTCGTTAGAAATTTGATGATCTATCCATCTTAAATATTTTGAAACTTTTGTGTAGACACCAGGAGAATCTTTTCGACCACATCCAAGTCCCCATGATGTGATTCCTATAACCGTTCTAATGCCATTTATTTCACAAATGAGAGAACCTCCCGAGTCTCCCGTGCAGGCATCAGCACTTCCATCACCAGCACATATCACTTTCCCAAAATCAATGGAATAATTTTTCAACAATGTACGACATTTGTGTTCTTGGATGATCGGAACTTGTGCTGCCCTTAATGTATCAGTTATACTACCTGTGTAAAATATACTTCTTGATAAAGTGTCGCATTTGCTTTCCTTATTTTCAATAAATTACAAAAAATGTCTCAATTAAAGATTGGGAAACAATCTTAGTTTTCTGATATTTAACTTATAAAGATACTTCGAATAAATAGTTATTACCTTTTTCTTTCTTATATCCCCATCCTGAAACCTCACATTTTATTTCAGATAAATCAGAAGATTCGGGCAAACAAGCTGGCTGTATATAATCATTGAAGACAATGTATGATTTTAATTTCAGTAGCGCTATATCATTGATAGCGTAACTTCTTTTGACTGCTGCAATGAAAAATTATAATACAGAATATATCAGTGTAAAGAAGGAAATATTAGATGTTAAACTGAAATTCAGAATTGAAATTAAAATTTGCTTGATTCAACATGAAATCAAGACAAAATTATGTAACAATACTCCTGTTTTTTTTAATGAGTTTATTTAAGGTCGCCGCCGGAAAGCCCATATGGGCGACCGTACACTCAAATCGGGCCATCCTAGAGCGTCCCGCCGAGATTTTGTCGTCGATTTGTTTCCAGCTTTATTGGTGGAGGAAGACCCCAGGTGCCCCTTCGGGCATTATTTCAGAGCGGGCACCTGGGTAGAACCACCGACCTTCAATAAGCCAGCTGGATGTCTTCCTCACATGAAAGATTTCGACCCGAATGAGGATCGACCCTACAGCGGTGAGGGACCTGTGATCTCAAGTCAGCGACCTTAACCACTCGGCCACGGAGGCCCTTAATATTCGTGCTTGTCACTTTCCTACCTTTTATAGTTTTCTTAAACAGGGCTGGGAATCAAAACTGCGTCGTATCCTACAAAATGTAAACAAACGCCGCCATCTAAGAACGAAAAACGTATGTTTTTGTTTATAACTCTTTTTGTTGGAAATGACTGAAAACAAGATATATGTATTAACACGCTACACTATTTTCCGCTTCGTTCGGTATATGTTGCTTGCACAACTATTTTGTAAAACAAAAGTTATAGCGAACTTGCAACTCGAAGCGAGGCAGAATTTTTATGAAAATGTGTGGATACGACGCAGTTCATATTGCTTTATCTATCGTTTTTTCCTTCAAATCAATTATATATTTGTTTTAGAGTTCACCATAAACTTCGAAATATAATTTTGCATCATTTACTAAAATTTTATTAAAAAGAGATGTTTATTTTCTAAGAAATAATGATTTTTACGAAATGATACGACGCAGTTGAAAATAAAATATGATACGACGCAGTTGTATTTTTGGCAGTCTTTTCAACAGGGATAAGTTTGGCAATATATTTCTATTTTATGGAGTAATCACTTGCGCTAGATAAAAACCCAGATCATTTGCGGTGTAAAGCAATGTTCTGTTGATTATTTAGAATACAATGTGTCATATCCAATATAACATTTAATTTGAAAGTTTACATTGCGGAAGCTACTTTTCAGTTAAACATGAACATGTTACCTTATTGATCATAATATCTGAAATAATTTCTTATATTTTCCTGTATGTTCAATATTATCCCTAATTTTTTTTCGCAAAAAAAATGTAGAAATCTATTAACTTAAATTAAATTTTGGCTAGCTAAGCTCTAAGTTAACTGTGGTTCTGCATGTTCTGGGTATTGACTGCTTTTTTGTGGGTTTCTTTTCAAAACTTTCACTCTACACATTAGCTTTACTAGGGGCGAGGACCTCAGGTGCGCCTCTGTGCATTATTTCAGGCAAAATGTTGTACCTGCAGAGAACCGTCGACATTTTGAAACTAGCTTGATAGGTTTTCCACACAAAAAGAAAAAAAGTCCCCTGGTGGTTTTCGAATTCATAGCAGTTCAGTTCAAGTGATTTGAATTCAGTAAACATAAACAGCTCGGCCTCGGTCGGACACACCAGTCCTGTCTGATTTGTTTTTTCAACAAAATTTTTAACGTCAGCTGTACAAATAAGCAGCTTTTTTATTAACTTCTGACGTGAAGTTTTAAGATTATAAATATTTGAAATAATTATAAAGAGAATAAAATTTAAATTTCTTGTTTCGGTATTAAAAGCAGAGAAATTTTCAATGTAAACAGGGGGTAATCCTCTGTGAAGTCATTTTTCTGAAAACTTTTGTTTAAGTTTTCAGGCAATTCATTATCAAATAAAAATCACACTTTAGTATGAAGGTATGTTAAGATGTCATGTCTCTAGTCTGTTGAAAATTCGATACGATAATCTGACATTTTCTGTTCAATATTGTGAAAACTTAATAATTCTTCAATACTGTTGAAAGATCATATCTGCCTATATCTGTATCAAATTTATCGGTGCATAACGTAAAATACCTTTGCAAAACGGACACCTTTTTTTAAAAAATAATTTGTAGTTGTATCATATGTAACTCGATTTTGAAAAGTTTTTTGATGGAGAAGAATGATACTCAAGTGCAAGTATAGAAAATACATTCCGTAGACATTTCCTCATCGGCGATAAAGAAACGCAGGGGTAAAGTTCCGCGGCGCTGAACATAAAATGACTAAACAGAACGCATAACCTACTTGCAAAAATATATTGTAGCTTAACCATTTATAATATTATTTTAAAAATTTAATGTTCAGTTTCAAATAATAAAGCTCATCTGTCCTCGTCGATTATTAAGAAAATGAATACAATACAATTGGCACGTAAAAGACAAAATTAATAACGGAATTGACGGAAATTATTGCTCATTACAAGTAACAACGGTAGGCATGCAATTTGCGCATTCCCGATAGCGAGAGACCTTTTCAAAATTTGTAATATTTTCTCTTTTTTTAAGAAAAAAGTCATTCCTGATTAATACAGGTTCCAGTGGAGGTTACACTGGAATATTGAATTTTGTATCAAAAATAGTAATCACTCCCATTTCGAACTCACATGAACAAGTTTATTAGCATGCTAAGGCAACAGTAGAACACGTTGTCATATGGGTGTGCGATCACGTGTCTCAATGTATATTGCATTTGATACAGCTTTTCGGAATTTGTAGATGATTATGATTAGTACTAAAATGCGACCGAAAAATGCAGCCTTAATAGAATTGTATTACATTTCCATTTTTATGAAACCAATGAGTGACCTCTGCTTTTGACTCAAGTTGTAAACAAGAAATGTTGTAGGACGTTATTGGCATACCTAGCACATAATTTAAATAGTTTAACCAATATTCAGCCTGCAATGAAAATACAACTGCGTCGTATCATATTTTATTTTCAACTGCGTCGTATCATTTCGTAAAAATCATTATTTTCTTGGAAAATAAACATCTCTTTTAAATGAAAGTTTAGTAAATGATGCAAAATTATGTTTTGACGTTTATGGTGAACTCTGAAAACGAGTATATAATTGATTTGAAGGAAAAACGACAGATAAAGCAATATGAACTGCGTCGTATCCACACATTTTCATAAAAATTCTGCCCCGCTTCGAGTTGCAAGTTCGCTATAACTTTTGTTTGACAAAATAGTTGTGCAATCAACATGAGCCAAACGAAGCGGAAAATAGTGGAACGTGTTAATAGATATATCGTTGTTTTCAGTCATTTCCAAAAAAAGAGTTCCAAGATGGCGGCGTTTGTTTACATTTTGTAGGATACGACGCAGTTTTGATTCCCAGCCCTGTTAAAGTGACATTTTTTGTTTTTTTTTGTCATTTTGAAGGATTTTTTACTGTGCTAAGCATTACCTTATTTGATTTTTAGTTTAGGTTGGTCAGATTATTTCCTCTCATTGAGCAAATCAATGTTTTACTTATATTTTATAGCTGCGTTTGCAAATTGATTAAAATTGTCTTCGATTAATGACCCGTTTTAGACGAAAGTGAATATACATTGAAAAAAGCAAATTTTTTAAAGATATTATAGTTTGAATTTTTTTAATGTAGTAGAAAGAAAGTACCAAAATATAATTTGAAATGAAGATTGTATTGGTTACTTGATTTCAAGTTACCTACGCCTTTTGAGAATGAAACAAACTTTCTTTCATGGGACAGATAACTGAAAATGTAGAATTTTATATTATCTATCAAATAATTTCATCAAATTTGTTTCAAAGAAAATTCTCTTTAATCAAATGAAGGGAATTGTTTGAGCCAGTTTAAATTTTCATATTTTGTGTTTGCAAGAAAATAATTTAATTGCAGTAAGAGACATCTACATGACATCAAGATATTGGTTAAATCGAAAATTTTAGATATGATTGTTTGAACGACGTTTTGACAATGAAAATAACATATTTCATTAAGCTGCGCAGAAAATATATTCTTCTTTTTGGTCATATATTTGCATATCACTTTTTAGCTCACCAGAACCAATGGTTCAGGGTGAGCTATTAGTATCAAATGGGGATGCTCCGGGTCCATCGTCCGTCCTTATGCGTCAACAATCGTCTTCTTCTCTGAAACTTTTTGGCAGATTTAATTCAAATTTGGTCTGTAGCATCCTTGTTACAGTCACACTTAAATTTTCTCATGTCATCACAATTTGCCCTTTTTAGGGGTCAATATAGCTAAAAATAGAAAAAACCTGTTAATATCCTCTACTACAGAACTAATTTATGGATGATCACACAACTTTATCTCTGGCATTCTTGGGTAGTCTTTTATCAAAGGTTGCTCATATTAATTTGATTGGTCCATTTCAGGGGTCTCTAAGGCTAAAAATAGAAAAGCTTTGATTGATGGATAATCACCAAACTTTGTCTGTAGCATTCTTGGGTAGGTTTTTTTATCAAGTTTGCTCGTAATAATTTGATTGGCCCTCTTTTTTTTAGGACCGCTGATGCTAAAAATAGAAATACCCTTTTAAACATCTTCTTCTACAGAACTATTGGATGTATGATCACCACATTTTGTCTGTAGCATTCTTAAGTAGTCTTTCATCAAGTTTGCTCATATTAATTTGATTGGCCCTTTTAGGGGCCGCTAAAGCTAAAATAGAAAAAACCTTTCAACATCATCTCCTATAGAAATAATTGATGTAATACCACCAAACTCTGTATTTAGCATTCTTAGGTAGTCTTTTATCAAGTTTGCTCATATTTATTTGATTGGCCCCTTTAAGGGGCCACTTAAGCTTAAAATAGAAAAAAACCTTAAAACACCTTCTTCTACTAAAGTAAATGATGGATGATCACCAAACTTTGTCTATAGCATTCATAGGTAGTCTGTTATCAAGTTTGCTAATATTAATTTGATTGGCCCCTTTTAGGGGCCGCTATAGCTAAAATTAGAAAAACCTTTAAACGTCTCTGTCTACATAACTAATGGATTGAGGATCACC